TGTGTGTGTGTGTGTGTGTGTTTATAGCTTAGTATGAGTAGGTTTAAAAAAAGAAGGAAAACTGTAATGTTTTCTTTAAAAATTTACAGCTTCTTCGTGCAGCTTGAAAACGATAAGAGAAAAGAGGTCATTGCCAGCGCAGTCATCTGCTGACGCAGCAACAGCAAAAACAGCAGCAGCCAAAAAGGCACAAATAACAAAAGACAGCAAAATTAACAACAACAACAACAACAAAACAATAACAACAACTGCAACAACAACAAAAAACAACAACAACAACAACAACTACCACTACAACAACAACAACTACCACCACTACAACAACAACAACAACAACAACAACAACAACAACAACAACAACAACAACAACAACAACAACAACAACAACAATATCAGAAACGCCAATGTCCAAGGAAAGAGAAGAGAACTAAAAAGAACATAATGTGTTTTATGTGTTTTCAAACACAACAACAACAAAAACATATACTTTGTCGCCTCTTACTTTCTCTAGAATCGACTTTCCCTTCTTCTGCTGGTATGGTAAGAGGCAACACCGCATTCGGAACTGGCTTGTCCACTTGCGCCTTTGCCACCTTCACTGGCGTTGGCATCTTGGTCACCAATGGAAACGTACCGATTATAATCTCGTCTTCAAATTCGATGTTGTCACAGGAGCACCGAGCATCAGAACCGACCCGAAACTGAGATGAAAAAGAAAAATTAAATGAAAGGATAGAGCTAGAGGGCAGCATGAAATGGTGGTTAGTACAGTCCCTTCGTAATCACTACTAAAATTAAAGAATTTTCTCAAAAGGTTTTTTTTTCTGAGCTCTCTAAAATTGACTGAGTACTATTAAGGGCGGACATCTAACTGTAAGTGTAGATTTCCTATGTCCTCTTAGATATACAAACTTTCTTCATCAACTATTTACTGTTCCCGTTAATCAATCAAAGTATTTTAAATTCGCTGTGCATTCTATTCTATTTCACTTTTACGTGTTCGAAGGGATTTGTTTTCATGATCCTTCCTACTCAAGATCAAAGGGGCAGCCAACCCACTGTACAAACGATGTGTAAGTAACATATATAATGTAAGCTCTATGGCTCTTTTTGTTCCTGAGTTTGGTGTTCCTTTACTTTCTTTCAGCAATCATAATATACCTTTCCAAAAGGCATTCTCAGTCATTTATACGAACATTAATAACTAGCCACCCACTGACATCGGAATTTCAATTATCAAGCCGCAGTAAACGATACATTTCCAAAAGAGCAAGAACAGACAGATGTAGAAATTCATTCGTACCAAATGCAGTGAGGTTACTGAACACACAGTGCTACAAATGAAATCATCCACTACATACCCAAATGTACCCATCATTATAATTATTGTTTTTATTATTATTATTGTTGTTGTTGTTGTTGTTGTTGTTATTGATATTATTGTTGTTGCTGTTGTCATATCGGAACCAACTGATAGAGACAGTAAGAATCGGGAAGCGCAAAGCATTTCCAGCTTTCAGTGTATGGGAGCGGTGAGGTAAAAGACTTGGGTAGATTTATATGAATTAACGTAAAAGAGACTGAGGACTGTGAGGGATGAGGTGGAGATGGGAAGAGAATAAGAGAGGTTGGGGGG